TATAAAGAAACTGATATTAAGTCTATTATTAAAAAAATTACAAATTTTACATACTTAATTAGGTATATGTGATTTGCGTATTAAGAATTGTTTTTTCTTCGACTCCCAATCGACCCTTTCGATTCGGATCGACCCCCATTCGACCCCCTGGCTCAGATCGACCCCCACTTTTGCTAAATAGACCCCTGGGGGTCCATATAGACCACTTTGGCGATCTCTGCTCTAGAAGTTTCTCTCAACATTTATATGATCCCCTGATATATATAAGGGAGTCGTATAAATGTTGAGAGAAACTAGGGGAACTTGGACACATCATTAGGATTAAAATTGCATAGAAACACTTGTCTAGAAATGTCATCATGAGTCGTTAGAGACGCTTCCCTATTACGAACTGTTCTTTTTTCTTGTGCACCGGAACACGTCGTAATAGGGAAGTTCTCATAGTCGCTTACAACGACATTGACAGGCATGAGTTCCAGTGCAGTTTTAATTCTGATGATGTGTCCTAGCTCTAGAAGTTTGTCTTAACATTTATACGACCCCCTGATATATATATAACGTTTTTAAACTTGCATATTTTGACGAAAAAGAGACTAAAAATATAATTTAAAAAAAAAAATCTATAGCCTTAGGAGCAAAACTAATTTCAGATTTGAAACCCCACACCCGAATTAGACAAGAAGTATTTGTACAAATATGAAATGAAATATGAATATTAAATTATAATTTTATCTATTCAGCAACTGAATTTGTATTTATTTCAAAGTCAATTTTTATGGTAAATTTCTATAACTGTTATATAAAAATATCGTAAATATATTGTGTATTTGTTTTGCTATGTAAGAGAAGGTAGGTAGGTACTTTATTTACGTTGCACTAGAGCTGCACAATGGGCGATTTGTAAGAGAAGTCGGAAAGTAGTGTTGCAACGTTAAATTAATTTCTATGCTTTATAAAAAGAAAAAGAGAAGCACTTGTTTTTATTAAGTAAAAAACCGATAGCAATCTATTTTTTTCCATACAGGTGAGATTTAAGTAACTTGACTATAATCTGAAATTATATACATTAAAAAGTCCTGTATTGCATTCTTTTTTTAACTTGTTCTAACTCAATCGACTTTATTATTTTAATTTTACTATAATTTCTAACTTTTTATAAATATCTTAAAACTAAAACATCCAAAAAAATATATTTTATATTTTTAGTTGAAAAAATAATCTGCCTAAAATATAAGAGTACAGAAATAACCTACGACCACAAGCTTGATAAAAACGAAATTGCTCTATCAATAATAAATTTATAACTATAAATAATTTGATATAGTATTAAGTTATAGCATAACTATAAATAATTTGAAAAATATTTAACAATGAATTTCAAGCTAAGCACAAGAAAAAAAGGAAAAATACCTCTCGCTGATCTCATTTGCGCAATGAATTCATTTAGTTGCTCATAAGTTGCATTATCTGGCTCTTCTTGAATAGGCCTCTCGGTATCAGGGAAATTCGGTATCAATGGTATCCTGGATACTTTTCCAGTACGTCTAGATGCTTGGCCTTCTTGTTCAAAATTACTTTCCTCCTCTTCGTCAAATCTGGCTCTCCGGGAAAGGACTCCTCGAGAGTGAACTTGGTATTCTGGTGCAAAAGTTAAGGTTTCATCTGTGGTATGATTTTCTGTATCAATGTCACTTGACGCATTTATGGAATTTGTGTTTGTTATGGAATTCTCGTAAGCGATATTGTCACTTGATGTAGAAGTATGTGATTGTTGACTAGCTGCTGTTTCTCCGAATTCTGATTTGGTGTGATCTAGGCCAGTTGATTCACTTTTATAAACGAACTTCGCTAACCTAACCTCATTTTCAAACATAAATGAATTAGGTGAATTATAACGTTTTGATGATACTTGTAGAACTATTTCGTTTGTAGCATTTCCAGATAAAACGATGTCAAACTGAGCGCTTTTTGAATCATTAGATATATTTTGATTTAAAATGCTGTTTTTATCACCGTTGCTAAAATTCACACTGTTATTTAATGCAGCACTTTTTGAATCATTTAAAAAGTTAGTCATATTTTGACTCGAAACATTCTTAGTACTACTATTGTCGAAATTCACACTGTTATTTGATACAGCACTTTTTGAATCATTAAAAAAGTTAGTCATATTTTGGTTCGAAACGTTGGCAATACTTTTATTGCTAAAATTTACACTGTTATTTGATATTGAATAATTAGTTTCATTTGTTAAGACAGGCATATTGTTTTCTATTATGTATTTATTTATATCATCTTGAAGAGAATTAATTGAAACGTGATCTGCTAGGTATGTCTCTGAAATGTTGATATGTTCAAACATTCCTTTATTATTTATGTTATCTGAAAAATTCAGATTGGAAAAAAGTTCGAATTGTTTCTTAGGTTCTGAGGTTGAGATATTGTCTGTTGTGTAATTCGATGATGGATAATCATCTTCTAGAAAGTTATTAGTGTTATTAAACAATTCAGTTCGTCTAAACACATTCAGGCCGTCAACAACTGCCAACACAAATATCACATAAAAACAATGGGAGAATATGATACGCATTATGAAGTTGATTCCTCTTGGCTTCATTTTTTTTTCAATACCTGCAAGATAAAACTAAATATTAACTATGAAAAGTTCTCTGAGGGTTTATTAGTATTATTGTTTATTAAACTAGTTAAGAAGTTTTATACTTTAATAGGAACAGCATTTCGTTCTGCTACACCCAGGACCAGCCATGTGTCAAAACTCTTGAAAGATTTTTGAACATCATAATTAAAGATTTCAAATATGTCATTTATTAGAGAAGAGCTCGGACTCACTCATAGTTGTCGTTTTGCACGGGGGGGGGGGTTCTTTTAATAATCAGAAGCTCCGATCAGATTTTATTATTTCTGACAAATAAAAAAAAATCCGCTTATCATCATCGATTTGAATTTAGTTAAGTTAAAAACAAGCTAAGAAATTTAAAAAAATTAATCATTCTACAGATGCTTAGTTGATGGAAAATTTTTTCTCCGGCTTGAAAACTATGGTAACTGTATGCATTTATTTCATCCTCTCAAAATCTGGACGCCTTATGGTACCATTCTTACATTAGATTCGACACACACATGATTCGGGGCCGGGATAGCCTGGTTGGTAGGGCACGGAGCCCATGTTCAAGAGGTCGTGGGTTCGATCCCGCCGGCCAAAGACTCCCCGTGTAGCAAATGGCGACTGATGCACGTTAAATCTGTCAAGTCACAGAGTCCTCCATGTTCCGATAACAAATCATACATCTGGGGGTACTGATCCAGGAGTTTCCTTGTCTTCTGGATTGGGTTCAAAATTGCAAGGCTACGTAGTTGAACATTAGTAGTCGTAAACCCAAAACTGGATCGGCTGTTCAACGACGGATATAAACAAATAAACACATATGATTCGGTCTGAACTTGAGATTACCTAATCTATGTCGGATCAGGCCGAAATCTACTGTAACTACTCAAACTTGGGTTGTGAAAAATCACTTTAGGAAAAAAATGTATAAAACCATAATTTAGAACTACTTACATTACGCCCTGAGCAAAATCAGTTTTGCTTTGACCCACAATGTCTGTATCCTGAGCCATAATACGGAGTGAATTAGCTGCTACCTTAATTCGGTGTTAAGCTGAACCATGTTTCCGTTCAAGTTAAACTGTAATATTGTGTAATCAAGTTTAAGAAGTACGATAAAGTTCAACTTAGCACCATACTAAGGTTGTAGCACACTTGAACGATATAGCTCAACGTTCCAAAATTTCTAATAGTATACTGAACATATTCCCGTGATGCCATATTTATACTTTACGGAAAAATTCTAAGTGTACATTTCTAATGAGCACAATATAAATTTTTGCTTTTAAATAGACATAAGGAAATACTATTTTTAAAAAAATTTTTTGAAAGTAGGTGTTTCGTATGTCACTTTTTTTATGTCGTTTTTCGCAGAAAATTAAAGTGCTTTCAGAAAAATTAACGTCAAACTTTTGATCCCGCCCTTGTGTGTGTTTTTTTTTCCTCTTGCGCGTCTTGCGACTATTTTTTTTAAAAAAAATATCTAACTTCTATTTTTTTTTTTAGGTTCTTCACTAGAAAGTTGTAATCAATAGCTCATATTTTTGGTTGCCTATTACTTTTACATTTAATGAATACAATATAAGTTATAATAATTTTCTTACTAAGAAGTTGGTAAGAAGTTACTAAGAAATGCAAGAAGTTGGAAGGGGGAACAGTGATGTAAATTCAGTAACTAAACAATCTAACTGATTGACGCTTCTTTATCAACTTAAAAAATAGTTTCCTGTAGTTACTAAACTAACTTACAGAAAAGCTCGTGTGGTTTATCTTAGAAAAGTTAATTACTTCCTCCATTCTTAATTTTATTTTTAGTTACTACTAAAAAAAAAGGCTTAGCAATCTGATTCATTTCCTTTTTAAACATTTTATTGTTAGAAACTTCGTGTTGTTATCTGCATATAGCAACAATATGAGAATTGTTTTCGAATGTATTTTTAAGTTGTTTAAATTTTTTTAAACTAATTTCGATTATTTATTTCCACTTTTTATTGCTTTATTTTAAAATGAATTCTAATTCGTTAATAAAAATTATTGTAAAAGGAAGATTTATCTGTAGTGCAATTATAATTGTTGTCTTATGAAAAGAATTAAAAGTTTTGCTATGCTAAGTGTTCCTAAAATATGGAACTAAAAAGATGGCTAAAATATGGCTAAAGATGGCCTAAAATATGGCTAAATTAAAGAGTTTAGCTATGTCAGGAGTTCCCACTCTATGGAACCAAAAGTAATATTAGGAAATTTAAGAGTTGTGCTATGCCAGTACATCCATTTTCAGTGTATGCGTGTTCAGGGAAGTGTATGTTCAGTTCATCAATCATATCAATATTGATTTTATTTCATCAACTTATATTGATAACTAATACTTTTTATGAATATTTATTTTATGAATAACTCCTTTCAATTTAACTATTTATATTCTGGTAATTTTTTATTTCGAAATTCTATATTCTTTCGGTTTAAGCTGTAATGATTATTAAATGTCAGCATCAAATTGAAAAATGGTGCTCGAGTCGAGTTGAAAAAAATGTGGGAAAGCATTGAATTATACTGTAAAAATACTAATAGCGTTTCTCATAGTAGGGGAGAGTGGGGTCAATTGTAAAATTTTTTACTTAACTATTTTTAACTAACAAGAAATCCAATATATTATTAATATTAATTGACGGACGAGTGAAGTAGACTATCCTCTACTAGAAAAAAAACTTATTTTAAATGTTATTATATTAGTTATTAACAATTTTTGACAGTCATGCACTTGTTACAATTGTCCCCACTTACGGGGTGGGGTCAATTCTATATAGGGCCAATATCGGAAAAATAATTTCTCTTTGAACTCTTATTGAGCCAAGATTAATGGATGTTGGTTCAATAAGGGTCCAAGTTATTTTGCTGCTAGGGAAGATTTTTTCTGTCTAGTTGGAAGTATTTCTAATTTGAAAATTCAATGACAAAAAACAAGGTCCATTGGTTAACGATAACATTTGCGTTGCTTGAAAATCGCTTAAAAATTTATTTTTAAGTCTAAAAAATTACAAAATCTATAATACCAACTGATTGCATTGGAAAGCTGAAAAAAAATTCTCTTGAATGTAAAAAATTACACAATCGCAATAAAAATCACTAATAGCACAGCAAAGTTATAAAATTTGTTTCAAAGAGAATAAGATTACAAATTCAAGTAATACTTTCTGACATCACTCCTGAAATTACAAAAAAATTTTTCGAGTTGAAAAATAACAATTAAAAGGATAAAAATAACTGACATCACTTAAGTTATTCAATTTGCTTTCGAGTGAAAACTTATTTACTCAAAAGATTTCCAATCGATAATAGTACAAAGCAATACAATTTGTTTCAGAGGGAATTAAATGACAAATTAAAAGAATGGATAACCCTTGTGAAATTATTAAACTTGTTTTCGTGTTAAATTAATTACTCAAAAAGAATGCTAATTGATAACAGGAGAAACATGAAATTTGTTTTCAAACGGAAAAAATTATATAATCAAAACTGCACTGATATTACCGTAAAGTTCTAAAATTTCTTTCAAGAGGAAAAAATTTCAAAATCAAAGAAATATCCTCTGATAACTGCGCAAAGTTATGAAATTCCTTTTCGAGTAGAAAAAAATTATTTGACAAAGGATTTTGCACTGATAATACTACAAAGTTATGTTCAGAATCTGTACATAATCCGAATCTGTAGAACCATTGTTCAGATTTACATAGGATTTACAATGGTTAAAATTTAAAAACTTTTTTATACTTCCTAAAAAAGGAAATGTAATGATTCACCAACTAAGAGCATAGTCGGGTAAAATTCTGTAAGAAAACTAAAGTATTATGCTTACACATAAAATCTTAGCATCACTATCTTAAATGGATTCCAAAAAATTTTTTTGAAGCAAAAAGTTAACACAAATTAAGATAAAAAGAATGCTGTTTAAATCTTGAAAGAATCAAGAGCAAATGTCATGAACTCTACCCTGATTTGCTTTCGATAATTGTTTATTGATACGGTAACCTAATAACATACATGGTTTTAAAGTCATGCTGATAATTTCTATTTTAATATAATCAATGGATATCAAATAAATATCGAATTCCTAATTTTTTTACTAGAACAAGCTGTCAATGCTCAGTGGTTAAGGCACTGTATTGTCATTGTGAAGAGCTGGGGTTCGACCCTGGCGGCTTGAAGCCCTCCTAGCTTCAAATTAATTGTTTCCAGCTTGTCTGGGAAGTAAAAGCTGTCAGCCCGCTAAGCCGACCTCATTGCGGCAATCATGTAGTTGGTCACGAAATTGTGGAGCCTTAACTTTCATAACCGAACCACAATGGGCTGCTTCAGGAATAAATGCTTCATTTTTTTTTTTTTTTTTTAAGTAGATTGAAAAAATAATAAGTTATGAAAAATACAGATTTATAATTAACTTCACATCGCATCAAGGTCTGTGACTAATGTCAATGCAAGTCATAATTGTTCCTTTTTTTTTTTCTTTTTTTTTTTTTTAATCAAGTAATATTTGTCTCAAAACGAAATTTTGATCGCTTTCTGTCTTAAACAGGCATAAAACTGAAAAGAAGTTAAGAATTCATCAGAATAAAAACGTTTTTCAAGTGGACAAAAAAAACTAAAATAATTCGATTTTTGTCTGTTTTTTTAATGACATAAACAGGCATAAAACTGAAAAGAAGTTAAGAATTCATCAGAATAAAAACGTTTTTCAAGTGGACTAAAAAAGCTAAAATAATTATATTTTTGTCTGTTTTTTTTATGACATAAACAGGCATAAAACTGAAAAGAAGTTAAGAATTCATCAAAATAAAAACGTTTTTCAAGTGTATTAAAAAAGCTAAAATAATTATATCTTTTTAGGGGAAGAAAACAATAAATATAGGGCACATTACTTTCGAAAGACGAGGGGAAAACTTTCGGTGGTGATAGAAATTCATAACAAAAGTGATGCTCCCTACATTTTCCGTTTTTTTTATGACGAAAATTAAGTTTTGTCCTTTTCATCCACTTAAAAAATGTAACATTTTATTTAATTTAGAATTTACGACCAGCGTCTAATAGCAAATTGTGAAACGAAACGTCTGGCACTTTAAATAATTGCAGACAAAAGAATTCGGGTAAAACAGCGCAAGAAAAAAAAAAGAAAAGAAAAAAAGAAAAGCAAATGCTATTTCTTAATTCATAAAATAATAAGTAAGTGAATTGCTGTCTTTCGTTATAAATTTTCCGAACTTTCTATTATTTCATTTTACACAACAAATGAAGATCGTTACTCACCATTCAGAGAAATCTTCCCATTTGGCAATATCCGTCGTATTTATTATAAGAACGTCTTTACATGATGGTCAATTTATAAAGAAAAGATATTAAAGCGATTCCGAAAAATCTCTTCAACTTCGCAATCACGGCACGTCATGTATATGAAAAATACGTCAAAGATCTGTAATAGATAAGTCTGACAAACCAGACAGCTAGTTGCCTATCGCGAAGGGAAAGTTTCGAATAAAGTAATACAAATTATTTGACCTCAACATTTTGAAATGTTCGATTCTGAATCCAAGTCGAAGTTAATGTATTGAGTAATTCTTCTGGTTTGAAATTTTATTTTTGTTCTTTTTGCATTTTTCGTCAATTTCACGATTTTTTTTTTAAAATTATAATTTTCACTTTTTCAATCTTAAGAAATTGTTGGATTTCTGTTATATAACATTAAGGAACTCCTAATTTTTTTTTTTTTTTTTTTTTTTTTTTTGAGAATAACAAATGGCGCACCCTTTACAATCATGAGTTATATAAAAAGTATAAACAACCAGACATAGTTCATGCTATTAAGGCCAATCGCATTTGATGGCTGGGACACCTTTATAGATCTGAAGACCAAAACTCCGCCAAACAAGTAACTTTTTTTAAACCTGAAGGTACAAAAAAAAGGGGTCGTTCACCGACTAGGCGGCTGGACGCAGTTGAGATAATAGGAATAACTAACGAAAGATAATAGGAATAACTAACTGTAAGGCCATGGCACAGAATAGATCAAGATGGCCAAAACTTACTGGGACGGCCTTGGCCTGTCATAGGCTGTAGTGCCCAAGAAGAAGAAGAATTTTTCTTATTTATGAGTAAAATATTTCCACAACAAGCCATTATAAGTCTCAAGGGCGTCATGGAAAGTAAGACACCACAGTTTTATGACCAACGGCATGATGGTGGCAATAAGGTCAAAATTGAGCAGATATTCATCGATTTGAAGCTAAGGGAGCATCGAGTCACCGCCAGAGATTGAACCTTGAGAGCTCAGCACTTAAATCACTGAGCCTCCGTGGCTCATTTTACATTTATATTTAAAATAATTTTAAATGATCCAGTATTTATAAATAACTTTAATTTAGATTCTTTCTTTTTTCTCCCCCTTCTTGTTTCGACCGACCTAGTCTATAGCATCTTTTGATATTATTGTCTTATGTGCGCGTGAGTTTAATTTTCCACAGCATTGCTGCATACGGTGCTGTGCCGATAAACTGTGCATTCAATCAATCGATTAATAATTCTGTTGTCTTATTATTTTGAAAGTAAGTACTGTCTGGTCAGATTTGAGTAGTCGGTGATATAGCTTGTTTGGCATACTTAGTTCTATCCAATTAAAAGCTAATGAATTGCGATTGTTATTATGATAATGGATTATAACTATTATGGGCATTATAAAACGATCATGCATTACTCTGGTCTCTTTGCTTATTGCATTTGATATGATATGTAGTGTACAATGTTTATTTAATCTATTTCAATAATAGTTATTATTTCATCCATTTTAAAATCCGGTTCTGATAAAGGACCTTTCTGGAAGCAGGAATCATGTTCTATATTCGCTTCATGAGGTTTGTTTCCGTAGTCAGTTACGGCTAGCACGAGGTTCTCAATCCCGGAAGTCTTTCTACCCTTTTCTATTTTACAAGACAGTTTAGTCATCAGCAGTTAGGCAGTAAATTAAATTTGTGTGTATATAGTGTTTATATTTAAGGCGGTGTAGTCGACTTTTCTTGCTCGTGACATTAAAGTCTACATATTCAATTTCGGTAACATAGTTAACTGTGTTATTTCAGTGATAGGTAGAAGTCTAGCCTGCTTCAGATCGAAGAGTATCACCTAGTCTAGAAAGTAAAAGCGGCCGGTGCTGAATGTGACCACTTGACCACCATCATGCCGTTGGGTTAAAAATTTTGGAATATTAACCTCCATGACCTCCTTGGATGACGTTTGGCTGTTGTGGGAGAGTTTTTTTATTATTTTATTTCAAAGCCTAATTAAGTCGAAAGTAAAAGATTGATTAGAAATTTTCAATTCTTTTCTAATAATCTGAGAATAATTTTATCGAAAAAATTAAATCAATCAGTTGAACATTTTATAAGTCAGTTATTTTAGAAAATTATCCTTACTTACTTTAAGCCATCATATAATTCTTAAGGTGTGAAATGAATATTATTTACTTTAATACAGCTTTTTTGGTTACAATCCTTTCCATTGTGGTTTTCGCGCCTATTTGCTAATAAGCATTTTTTAATTATTCTTTTTTAATAAAAAAAAAGATGTCGTTTAGTAGTTATATAACATTTTATTGTTATAGCTTGTAGAATTTTGTTTTATATAAAATGCTGTTCAAGCAGAAAGTAAAATTCGAATTCGAGTTCTGATTAAAAATATATATGTAATACAAAAATTAAATACTTTTGTATTAATAAAAGAATTAAAACTCTTTCGTTTTCATAAAATGTCTTTGTTAAAGAATAAACGTCGAGAGATTCTATTTTGGGAAATCAAGGCTGAAAACATACCATTGAAATATAAATAGATTTATATTTCAAAGGAAGAGTTATTTATAGAATCGTGCCCTTTTTCACTACCATATAAGGAAGCAGAAATGATTTTCCTTAATGCGTAAGGATACAAGGAATGTACGAATGTGCCTTTTTACTTCAAATCTAGGTTGCTATAAAACCTAAGAACGCATTGTTTTGCGTGTCCTTTTCATCATAATGTGGTCCTGATAAGCTGTGCCGGAATTGTCCGGAGTCTTGTCCATTCCCCTCCCGTAGGGA